CACTTGTCTCTGATCTGTTGTTGCAAAGCCTTGACAAGAGCTTCTGAAAGTCTTGGCCAGTATCTGTCACATGTCACATGCACTGTATTGTCACCACAGAGACGACATTCTTGTGCTTTCAGTTTACATATTCAAAGAGGGTTTGAGCTCCTTTTGAACATCAAATCAAAAATGTTTAAGGGCTGTGACATTGTTTTGCTTTTAACCACTTTGGCCTCATTTTGTAAACCAGACTTCTGTTGCTCCCTCTCTACTGTCATGTAAATTTACGCACACAGCATGAAAAGTCCAAATCTATCGCTGTAAAAATAACTCCATCTGGTAAATTTTTTTTATTAATTTCTTTATGCTAATAGTCCAGTGCATTTTAGGATGCCGTACAGTTTTCCAACCCTGAAAACATGCAGTCAATGGAGAGTAAGCTTTTTCAAAGTAGATCTTGGCAAAACCAGCAAGTGAGGGGACTTATTCCTTAAATTCCTGCCAAGTTTAGCAGTAATAAAAACATTTATCAAGTCCCTTCACCTAAAATTCAGAGCAGATTAAATATGTTTAGCTTTGATTAAACTAGACTATCAAGGCCACTTGGATGTTTTATTCTACCGTTCTATAGTCTTTTCAGCACCTGTGAACCGTGTTAAGTATACCGTTCACATTAGTCAGCCAAACCTTGGCACAGCAAGATGAAAATGACACCATGGAATTTTTCTTTCTTTCTTTTGTCCTAAAAACAGCAACAGAGGCATGTGGTGTTGTGTTCATAATGGACCCACTATACTCTCATTACATGTCTGTGAGGAACAAACCTAAATCTTGACAAATTACCACTGGCTTAACATAACAGTGATGGGCCCCAGTGGAAACAGTTTTGTCTGGCAGCCCAATACGTTGATCATTTGGCAGTGATGAGGCCTAATGATCATAATAATGCTCATACCCACAGTCCCAAACCAGAGAGAAAATTTGTCCTCACTCATTAGATCCACCTGTGTTCCTCAGTGCAGGGCATCATCCCTACTGTCAGATGAACTCGAGTATCTCTTCATCAGCACCACCCTCCATGTTCCAAATGTGTGGTCATTTGAACGTACTTTAAAGTGGATGTTATTTAAAACTATGTTTCCATTAAAGTGGATATTAATACTATTTAGTCAATTTAGGTGGTTTGGCTAACAATGTCACCTCTTTACTTTAAGCTAAGTTATCCATTAGTTTTAGCTAAGTATTTCAGCCATTATCCATTACTTGTAGCTAGTTCATCATCTCACTGATCTACAAGCAACTTTCTACCTCACCTCCAGCCTTTCTTTGTGTTATTTGCTGACTGTTCTGTTTAAATTAAGCAGAAGCTTTGAAAAATTATCCATCTTCAGTAGCGTGCCCAATTTTGATTTTGAACTTGTCGTACTTAAATGTTATGTTTCATATGTGTCCCACCAATAATTTAAAACAACAATGGGTGTAGTTTTGAAAGTCTTTACGTATGTGGTTGAATTATAGACCACAAGGATCACTGGTAGATGCTCAGTGCATAACAGTCACATCAAACCAAATGTGACAGGATTTAGGGCTATTTTTAGTTAACAGCCACTTGGATTACATGGCTATAGAGCTGTGTCCTAAATTCAACAATTACTGCAGTCGACAGTGTTTATTGGCTGGTGAGGTTCACAGTTTTGTCCTTGTTTTTTTAAATGTTAGCCGTTTCTTGACATCTTGTGCAGTAACTGCACCAGAGGGATTTATTTGCATAGAAAATCTACCATGAACATTATAATATTATGTTTTGAATTTCAGTTTCCTTTAGGTTATGAATGACAGCCAAACTATAAGATTAAGCCAAATAGTCTGGCATCTTTCTCTGAGGAAACTAGTCACTGCCACTTCTTATTTTTACCACGTATTATCTTTATTGCTCAACGAATCACTCTGCATATTCGTCCAGTCAGATAATTCAGCTAATTTGCATCAAAGGAATTTATAGCCTTTTTAATTCTGTCAAACGTGATTACATTACTCACTGCATATGCTTTTTTTCCTTGAGAAAAAAAACCAAAAAAATCAACTGACAGTAGAATTGAAAACAAATGTTAGAAGACTGGGAAATGGAGAGTGCTTTAGCTCTACTGTCACCTTAGGCAAGCTATTTTTAATTTGCCAACAAAAGCATGTCTTTTTTTCCCCCCCTTCGTATTTTCTGTTTCAAGCCCAATCTGAGCCCCAGGGACCGCTGAGCCCCTCATTTGCATGACAGGTATTGGTAAATCAGGTGCAGAATTGTGGACAGCGTCTGGCAGCCAGTCTTTTAATGCCTGTTTGTCTTATTTTTTTTATGGATTTGTTGACACTTGTAAGTGTGCTGTCTAGTATACTTTCTGGATGATTTTTCACTGCACCTCTAATTGGTGCTTGTCTTGAGGAGAGAACAGAGATGTGGTAGTTGATGGAGTTTATGGACTGACTAATGAGAATAATTAAAATTTTCACATTTTTCTTTAGTTCTTTTAAACCTAACTGTTTTGTTTGTTTGTTGTCTACCAGTATGAGTACTGCATCTCTTCAATGAGAACTCACCCTTCCTTTCAACGACAACAAACTAATGACCAGCGGTGATGAAACTACACTGGGTTTTGACTGAACCTTAAGGCATAGATGAATCAAAGTATTTTTAAAAGATTTATTCATCCAGGACATTTAAGAGCCTTAACGATGACACATACACAAAGATTATCCCCATGTGAGTGGAAGTGACTTGAATAGGTGGCAATATATGTCAGGAAATTAGCAATGTAATTTTCAGTCAGACATCATAAGACAAGGAAATCATACATCTGACGCCAAAGGGCATTCTGTAGGACATAAAATCTTCAGTGGATAAAGATCCAGACTGAAACACAAACCAGGTTTGTACAGAGAGAAAGAAAGAGGTTGATGTCTAATATGATATGTGCAAAAAAACAATCTAGTAACTCAGCTGCCTGCAGTTTTCTGTTTATCAGCATTTGTCAAGCAACACAAGATTGGTTTCATCTGACTTGGCCTGCCCTTGAGCTTGACATTTGTTGATGAGGGAAATGATTAAAAATTAAAATTAACTAATTAGCATGAACCGTATTTAGTTTTATTGGCTACATTTCCAGTTTTGTGTTTTTAAGTGGCTACTCAACTAACTCAGTTTTGGATGAAATGCATGTATACTCTCGTATTCAAGTTATAGTGGCTTACATTTTCAGGTTTCAGAAACATTCAGATCACGCCCTTTCACCCACTGTGATTTTTGTCCCATGTTGCAGAAGTAATCCACTATCATATTTCTCAGCCACAATACAACGGTTGATTGCATATAAAATGGATGGATGGATGGTTGCTTTATTTATGGCAACTAGGAGACACAGTCACAGGTTAATAAAGATGACCGTAAATATCTTTGCATCAATAACACCTCATGGCTCTTGGATTTATGAAGCAGAATGTCAATGTGTATTTATTCTTGTCAAATTCCCTGTAAGTGAATTGGTCAAAATTCTCAACATGTTTAATTCATGTTTATTGTCAAAACTAATTTTTTATATCTCAAATTTTAAATAACTGACTGGAGTTCTTTGGCTCACGAGCATCATGTTAATAGACTCATTAGATGTGGATCTTGAGTAAAGTTGGTGCTCAGCTACAATCAGACGGCTCCTTTAAAGTGCTTTTACATCAGGGCCATCACAAACGTAGTGCGGAAGAATGGTCACAGGTTGTAGCATTATTAGCGCAGCATTCTATTTGAGCACTAACCATAAGTGCATCTTTACATCCATTCACTTGTTTATTCCGCCTGTAATGATCAGTGCTCTAGAGTAACACAGAACACTGATTCCCCTGAGAAAAGTGTTTGATCTTCTCTCTGTACGGTGGCAATAAAGGGGGACTGAATCTCACAAAAGCACAATGAAAGCCTTTTAAGTACGACACAGCTGCTACACGTGTGTCTGTGTGTGCACTCGAGTGGCCGTGTAAATGCTGTGCCCTAGTCATTTGCAAACATTTGCCTTCCTTTTCCTTTCCTTTTACTGGTGTTTTTAGGCTGCATTCAATAGCAGATACGGCAGTTTCTGAGCACATGTATTTTTAATGAGGGGTCATTAATTCTTTCTGAAAATTTCTAGACTGCAACCTCCTTGTACTAATTACCAATAATTTCAGTGTTAGGAATACAGTCGCTATGCAACTTCTAGAGAGTGGGGGATATAAGGAAGAAGGAAACTGTACTGCTGTTTAAAGTGCTTATTCATGTTTTTACGTGATGTATTACCCTGGTAGTTTGGTCAGATTGTGTTTAGTGTACTATTGAAAATCTTGCATCTTTGAACCAAGAGCTACTAAATGAACAGATATGAGTGACGGTCGCTGCAGAGGGTCTTGAGCATCTGAATATTTTCACCCCACACAGGAACCTAATACAACACTAAATATGAATTTTATCTTGCCTAATACGAGATCACTTGTTTGACCATTCATCACAAATTAAACAATTAAATGATTCTCAGTTGCACGACAAGGTGCCACCAGTAAACTCATGCTGATTTGGTTATACATATAAACAAAGCTTTAAGTGTGTTGGTTGTTCTGTTGACTTTTAAACACCTTTTTGATTTTTGTCACTTTCCCCACTCAAAAGGATCACAAATTGATGTGTTTAACAGCCACATGCTGTTTGGTATAAAAATGGTAATACAAGATCAAGCAGACACCTGCATATGATATAAATCAAAACTACAAACCAGTCAAGAGTAGGCGGGCTGAGCAGTGTGGCCTGCTATACTTGAGGTTTAAATTCATGTTTAGAAATAGCAGTAGCAATTTGACATTCATTTGACATCCATCACTTTCACCTGTTAAGCTATAAACATTTTTACATTGTTTTCTCAATTCACTTAGGAGCTGGTTGCCAGTCTTTGTCAGTAGCTTCACCATGACACCATCCCCTTTTCCCTCTTCTGTCATTTCTATAGGAGCCTTCTGCTTATACTGATATGGCTGCTGCAATTTGGAAGCCCAAATCACTGGACGTGGGCTTATGGATCTTCCTCCTGCTCCTCAACCTCCTTCCTGAAGCCAGGTACAAAAACATTCTGTATTTCACCTCGGAGTCTCCCTCTTCTTCTGTTTGCTATTTACCGTCTTCCTTTCATTCCCCCAACCCCGTCCCTCCTGTTGATGCCCTGGTGATGTGTTTTTGTATAATACCTGTATTAATCAGGCTCACCGCTGCAGTAGGCATTGTAATCTAACCAACACCATAAGAGGCAAATGTCCATCTATATTGTAAGCTGAGAAAAAAGCAAGGGAGGTTTTTCTTTGTTATTACACAGTGAGATGGTCTCAGCTGTGACTGTCAGTTTGGCAAATGAAATAACCAGACCTCTATAATGGTGTTGACAAAACAACTACAGGACTGCCTAGGGAAACCTTTAGCACTGACTGATCAAGGAAAGAATATTCCTAGTTTTTTCTCCTGCACCTTCACTATATAACTTTTGCACTCCGGGTCTTTCTGGACCACACTGAGTTTCACATTTTTGGACAAGGACTTTAAATAGAATCCATGCCACCTTGTCCTAAATTAGGCCCAAACATAAACATAATGTGAGCTTATCCTGTCATCTAAAATGTAGCTTGTGCTCTCCTCTGCCATGGTCTATATTTCACTGACTGGTAAATTAATTTGCATTGTCCAGCACACCACAGCTATGACTGTCCATTCACAGCATTTTCATTCCTGCATCCTGTGCACATTTTTCAGTTTGTGTAAAGAGTCAGCAAAATATATATATATGTTTTTTTTTGTTTTTTTAAAGCTCCAGGATGTCGAGGAGTCATTCTAATCACACTCCTTGTAATTTCAAAACGAAGAGATTGCACATGCAGGTTGCCATGTTAGCATTGTCGATAAGGTAGGATGTTATGGCAGGGAGACGCGGCAGAGTGTAAATCACTTTAAGATTGTGCATGCTAGGAAAGGCTCACCGAACCTGGAAGAAAGCAGGCTGGGGAAAGAAATCAGAACAGTGTGACAGGGATTAGCCCAGTTTGCTTTGTCATTGTGCCACCTGGCTCTCCTTGCTTATTAGGAGCACACAGCGCTTGTAATTACATATATTAAATAGAAATGTGTGGCCAGGAGAAGGTGCTGGCCAACCCTGGGAAGAGATCTTTTACAAGAATATGTGCTTTGGCCTAACTGTACCTTTCCCAATTCAAGGACATGCATAGTTCACCTGAACATCTTAGAGACACCCCTGCTGTTTGACACCCCTATACACATAACAGTAATCTTGATGATCATGGTTTGGGCTAGACCCCTTAGTTCCAATGAAGGAAAAACTCTATGCTATAGCACAAAGTGATATTTTAGCCACATAGTTTGATTCCCACTTTGTTGCAGCAGTTTGTGGAAGACCTTTTCCTGTTTGAACCAGACAACGCCCCCATGCACATAGCCCATAAAGAGATGTTTTTCTCAGTTTAACGTGGAAAAGTTGACAGCCCTGCACAGAGCACTGACTTCAACCCCATCAAACACCTTTAGGATGAATTGAAACGCTGACTCCGAGCCAGACCTTATCCCCCAACATCAGTCGCCAACCTGGGAGCAAATCCCTCCAGCCAGATTCCAGCATTTTGTGAGAAGGTTTCTGAAAGGGAGTGGAGGCTGTTGCAGCATAGTAATGCCCATGGTTTTGGATTGAGGTCTCCTACTCTCTCTTGGAGTCACTCAGTCAAATCTAAACACACAGACATGATATACATATTTTTTGATTCAGTGTGACATACACTTTCTGAGGATCTTCACTTAGAAATCATAGATGAAAAGATGATCCTTATAACTCCAGAACGAGCCTGAGAATAGTCATGTTTTTTTTAAGGTTTCTTCACTATCAAAGCAATCCAGTAATCCATTGAGTCATTGCAAAAGGGAACTTTAATAGCTATTTCAGCATATATTTATTGGTGCCAAATTGTTAACAAATACTCTACAGATGCAAAAAAAAAGACAGGGCTCACATTGTAGTCAAGCTGACTCAATTATGTCTGAGGGGGGCCTAAGCTGTCCGACTTTTTAAAACTCCTGATCTAGATACATTTAGGGCCGCCTTTACTATCTAAAGAGACACTTTGACTCCAGTTTGAAGGCACAAAAAATATTTTAGCCCTTTAAATGCAGGTACCACAGCCTATTAGTCTAAATCAGCTTATTAACATTACTAATAGGTCTAAATGACTATTCATTCATGTTTAACTACAAGGTGGCTGTATTGTCTATTTATGATTATTTGGTTACTTTGGCTTTGCATATCCAATGCAGTGTTTTGGTGCATTTAGGAAAGTATTACAGCAAATAAAAAAACTTGACACTTTCATTATTTTTATTAGGGGATGCTATTTACAACAACTGTAGTGGAAAAACATCATGAGCAAGTACTTAGAAATTGAGTAGCTATCATTAGCTTTGCAGGGCTACTTTGAGTCCTCCCTGTGTTTGTACAAATAAAATTTGCTGGCAGCCATACCAATGTAAAACCTGCTACTGCTGAATGACTGAAGCTAAGCAGGTTTGGCCAGTACCTGGATGGGAGACCTCCTGGGAAAACGAGTTACTGCTGGAAGAGGTGTTGGTGGACCAGTAGGTAATCTTAATAATAAAATCCCAATGCAGTGATGGGGACACCGTGCTGTAGGAGATGCCGTCCTTCGGATTAGACGTAAACTGAGGTCTTGACTCACTGTGGTCATTAAAAATCCCATGGGACTTGTTGCAAAGAGTAGAGGGTTCCCCGGTGTCAAGACAAAAATTCCCAACCTGGCTTTTACCATCTGGCCATCTAATCATCCCCCGTAGTAATTGGCTCTATGTTTCCCTCCCTCTTTGCCTCAAGCTGATGTGTGGTGAGCGTTCTGGCACTAAAATGGCTGCCGTGCATCACCCAAGTGGGTGGTACACATTGGTGGTGGTTGAGGTGAGTCCCCCCCCCACTTCACTGTGAAGCGCTTTGAGTTTCCAGATAAAGCGCTATATAAATGTAATGCATTATTATTATTATTATTAAAATGAATAGCCTAAATGCATGGCATTAAAACGAACTAATCAGATTAAACAGCTTTAAAATAGTGGAAGTAGAAAAACAGGCCAGTTTAAAACAGGTACATTTTGAATCCCCCCGCCACGTATTCGGGACCTGATAAGCACAAAACACAATATCTGCTCAAGGTCATTTAATTCAGAGAAAATCACAACTTGCTAAAAGAGATAATGTGTTAATGTGCAAAATAATAACCTAATAAAGCATTCTGTTCTCACCAGTTTAATGGTGCAGATCTTCTCGAAAGGGGTTTTAAGAATGTAAGACTGCAGGCAGATATTCTGACTTTATGTAGTTCATGCTTGAGAAAACTTGGTAGCACAAGTATGTTGATCCAACATTCTATGTTTCAAACGCAAGCTTGTCGAATTTGCTTTTTGTTTGTTTTTTCATTTATGGTTTTGAGCAAGAATAGCCTTCTATCGGGGAACATCTTCAAGCTTGGCTGTCAAGGCTTTTGAATTAGATACCCATATGACAGTGTTGGCATTGTCGGCCAGTTCCATTTCAAAGTCAGGTAGACTTACTCCTGTGAATGCAGACATGTTTAATAGGAATGGGTCATTATCTAGGGGTGTGACAGGGGATGGTAGTGTATTGTTTTCCCTTCTGAACATGCTATATCTTTCCCCAAATGCATTCTGATCTCATGTTGTAAATAATAACAGTTGATGTGATTGTGTTCTTCTCCGAACCCTGTCAGAGAGGGGAAGTGAGAAAGCGTGTCTCTCTGTACATCTCACCAACACTGTCAACCTGGGCTCAAATGCTAAAAACATCTTCCAACAACTGTTGGGCCACGCTCCCCTTTCCCTGGAGACTTTTGTTCAGTGTGTTGTGGTGACTTGAACCATGAAGTGCAACTCCAGCCAATTGTGATTGTGATCTTCCAGTTATGGATAGGTCTGCCCTTTGCTTTGGAGGAAGGTTTCACATGTTCCACAAAAGCAGCAAACACTTTCTCTGCTCTGCTTTCCGCAGCAGTTCCGAAACAGCTCTGACTTTCATCACCAGCCGGATACTTATCAGCAAATGCTGTGTGCTTCTGCAAATGTCTTTCAACTTTGAATATTTTGTTGTTCGCTGACTTCTCGCTGCATTTTTGGGGATTTTTAACTTTTAGCCATCTTAGGAGAATAGGCTACCCACTCAAGACACTGCTATTGAGTTTAGCAACAAGGTGCCAGGATGTAGCAGGATGATGCCCATATTAGCTGACAAAGTGTTAAAACATTTTTATTCGTTGTATAGGCCACATGTTTTTACAGTTGGATAATTTTAGGATGACTTTAGGCCTACAACAATGACCTCGGGAGCCGCGGGTTGTCGACCCCTGACTTAGGGTCAAGACCGTGAAGATATGCTGTACTTAAAATTCACAGTAAACGTTTAACCAGAGTAGATGAAAGGAAATTTTATTTGTCAAACATTTACTTTCAACACAAATTAGTGAATAGATAATATACTCAGTTATAAAAAGTTCAGGAAACCTAACCTTGGCGTTATTATGAAGCGTGAGAATTATAGGATCCAGTATTTAGGATGTTAAAAATAAAAATGTGGATGAAATTTTAGATTAAAGGAAGATGTTATGAGAGCAGTGGTTAATAATGGAAAAGTATTGACATATTCAGGGACAGAAAATTGTTATCACACTTTTTCCAGCAGGGCACGAGCAGTCAGTGCAATTCATTATGCATGGACCTAACAGCACATGACAAGGATCTTCAAGGATCTTCAAATGTTAATTTCTTTCTTTCTTTCTTTACTTGAGACATGATGTAGAGCACATATGCAAAGCCCCTGCACAGCAGTCTTTCCTTAATTCATCGCCTAATTTAGTGCGGGTTAGTTAAACTGAGTAAAATGTGTTTACCTTAGTTCATTTGAGGGAAGACATTACTAAAAGTCGCCTCTTGAGAAATCCAAATCTGGACCAAAAATGGAATTTCACGCAAAATTTGCATCTGAAAGTTAA